GTTATTTCATAGTAAGCCTCTTTAATAGCTATTTTTTTCACTAAGGTTACAGTAACTTATTGTAGAAATTCACGTACAGTCATCATGCTTCCAGACAGCTGGCATTAACTCTCTCAACTCTACTTCCCTGGACTTTCTGTCCAGTACAAGATAACCAGGGACAGAGAAGACTCCAACAGTTGTCCATCTACTAGGATGCAGGAGGGAGAAAGGAGAAGAAAGGACGGATAAAAAGGGAGAAAGGACGGATAAAAAGGGAGAAAGGACGGATGAAAGGGAGAAAGGACGGATGAAAGGGAGAAAGGACGGATGAAAGGGAGAAAGGACGGATGAAAGGGAGAAAGGACGGATGAAAAGGGAGAAAGGACGGATGAAAGGGAGAAAGGACGGATGAAAGGGAGAAAGGACGGATAAGGGAGGAGAGGGGGTCCAGAAGTGGGGAAGTGGCTTACCTTGCTGTGCCTGTGGACGTATGAAGATGCACTTTCGAGGCCGCAAAGGGTCCCTTGGTGTGCTGGTGACATCTTCATGCGTCAGCTGATTGGTTGCCATGCACAGCTACTCTAGTTTTTGTGTGCTCCAGTTTTGATAAATTCCCTTGTGTGTTTGTGTAAACACACACAGCTTACTAGCACAAAAAAGGCTGGCTCCCTAGGACCCTGCGAGGGAAAGGAGTCATCCTACACGAAAATACCAGCACCAGTGCTCAAGAGACCAGCTGATTTTACAGGAAACTTAAAAAACAAAAAACACCTTTTGAACATGAAGGAGCAGCATCCATTGTAAGTGATTTATTCAGCAAACCCTTTGGCTTTAATACTACTTTAAAGGATTACAGGCTTCAAAGAAATAACTCCTGAATATGTAATCTTTACATAGGTTTGAAAGTGAATGACTCACAAAATGGAATTTTTCGGTTCTCACGTAGTGTTAGTTAAACTAGAGAATGTCTGCCTAAATACTGCATGAAACACAGTGGTGGTACAGATTTAAATAGTAGAACAATTATCTTCTATGGCTTGTCCACAGGATGTGTGTTGCAGTCTGTTACCGAACACACAATAATGTGCTTTTCATTAAGGCACGCCATGGATTTGAACGACCTGCCAATGCACCAATACAGACAAAAAATAAGACAAGCACCATTTTCTCCAACACAGAGCAGCGCATTGCAATGCATGGAGGTATGCTGCCCTAGCACATTGGGGTAGCGTTGAAAATGACTGAAACCACAACAAGTTTAAACATTTATGGTGCGTTACAGCAACTTATAGGGGTGACTGGGCCCCAGAAGTGGCTGGGCAGAGAAAGCGGTTCAGATCAAATCCTCCAGGTCCCTCTTTGCATTCTGTTGTTCCCTTCTGGAGGTCAGATAGATCTCTAAGGGGAGTTGCAGCTCCAAACATTAAACAGACCTAAGGAACTTGTCGGGAAAATATTTATATACAGGTGCTTGGTGGAACAGGGTCAATAGGATTTCAACAGAGCATAATGGTTAAAGCTTTCAGGGGCCATTACCTGTATTTTTCTTGCACTCTGTCTTTTAAGGGTTTCTTCTTCTAATTTCATATTGTATAACTTTGCACGAAGAACTTTCATGGCAATGTCTTTATTTTTGATCTGAGATCGTTCTTGCTGACATTCAACAGCTATACCTATATGAGGGAGAGAAATAAAAAGACTGACATCAATAATTAGAAAGTAATTTTGGTCTCCTGTATAAAAAACTAAAAAAGGAAGGGGTGTCTGATGTCCATAGTGGCAGCTATGTGACTGTGTAGAAATTCAAGCCAGTCCTTATTAGTTCTGGCAAAGCACAGAGCATTGGTCACGGGCCTTGTTTCGGAGACAAAACACCAGACATTAGGCAAACAAACATAACTTCAGAATAAGAATAAAAAAACAAATATAGCTTATTCATTATAGCATGGCACACTATGTAATAAGGCTCCTGCTCGTTCTGTACCTCTTCAACACCCCCCCCCCCCCCCCCCCCCCTG